GTGTGGAGTGTTACTCACTCTTTTGCCAGGCTTGCCAAGTGCTTGTAGTTTGACAGAGCTTCATTTACCCACTGCAAACCTCTATTTGAGGGGCACACTCACCACACTGACTGGAGCCTGCTGACAGCTTCTGTTTGCATGAGGGGTTCCTGAGTCTCTCATTGAGCCAGCATGGTAATCCACTGTAGTCCAAGGTTTTAAGAGAAAGGGTCAGAGCCAAAGATCAACTGTAATACTAGGTCCAGGAGGTGGGGAAGTTTCTGACTGTGTGGGCCTTAGTGGCAGTCCAGTGTTTCCTTGGTTGCCAGGCTGTGGGGCAGACCCATGGTGGCAGTCTGGGGGTCTCAGGTGAACATCCATTTATTGGAGGGCCTCTTGTTCCTATCTCTTGTTGTTCAGAGATATAAATGCCATATTCTACATGAAAGACAGTGCAAGTACCTTGTTAGGCTGTGGTTCCCAAATCAAGGCTCATGTGGTTTTGCAAAACCAAATTTCACATTTGAGAAGTTTCATCCATGAGCAAAACCAAGCCTAGCAAGTATAGTTAATGGTGTGGGCCCTGCATTAACAAGGGTTTAGGTCCATGATTTTTGTCCTTGATAGCAACACAGCCACCAGAGTAAACCACCAGGACATCTGTACAATATGATGGCACATATAGATCAGTTTCACAATATTGCTGTGTGTCCATAATAATGGGTTTCATGGTGTCATAGATATATGGGAATACCATATAGCTATAGCTATAATCCCATAGCTATAACACCCATGTTAGGACAGTTTCACTCACATTTTAATTCAACTGTCTCACCAGCTTCCATATTCTAGGGCTATACAGATTGTATATGTGTATCATGGGTAGAGAGGAACAATCACTCAAGTCCCCCTCCTTGGGCTAGGGGCTCCTCCACCTCCTCCTTCTGTCAAGTTGCAGGTCTGAGGGAACTCACAGAGACTGTCATGGTCATGGGGCCTTAACCTCAGAAGGAGGTGGAGTTCCCTGGTTCATGCATTGTGACTTCAGCAGGAGACTGCAGTGATTCGAAGGCCTCTGTGGGATCCACATGTGTATCACTTCTGAAGGCCTTCAACATGCTCTTGGGAGTCATATGGACCATTCCCAGTCTGTACACGTCTCAACATTATCAGTAATCAGGTAAGTGAATATTCATCTCACAAGGAAAAACCCTGCTCATGTATTGAAGAGCACTAAGAGCCAACTTGTTTTTTTAGGTCAAAGTACACTGCTATTGGTGAGGAAGGAGACTCTTTTTGCATTGCTAGTGGTATATTCACTTCAGAAATCATTTTGGTAGTTAATTTAACAGTAGCACATCTGACTACCTTAACATTCTGTGCATCCATTCCTATATCATGAAGAGAATTTCACAAGATATTCACATCAACTTTGTTTTCAATAACTGAAAACTACAATGTGAATATCCGATAACATCCAAATGAATAAAGAAACTACAGCAAGCCATGACTTGAAATTCTAATAAAAAATATAAAAAGACTGTACAGGAACCTCAGTATGATTGATTGGTGAAAGAAGGCAGAGAGGACACTTTTTGTCCAGTCATTACACACATTTGCAAAATATTAAAAAATACAAGGCAGGTCAGTCTGTGCCTATCTGATACACAGGATAATACTCTGTTCTAATAAGAGTTGCTGTGGATCAGGAATCCAGGAGGCTTTTCTCAGACTGCTACAATAGTAGTTTGGTGCACACAGCTACATACTCAGTGAACATGCCACTAGGGCAGAATTTGCTCTCAGGCTTTGTCCTTTGTCTACAAGAAGGACTCAGGACAAAAGCCTAATGTCTCCTGTCTGTTTTCCCTTTTGTCACTCAAGGTTCATCAGGCTCTTCTCGGGGAAGCTGCAGAGATAGCTGCGACTTCTTTGTAGCCAGAAATCCAGAGAGGGACAAAAAAATAAAAAAAATAAACCACCATACTGGGGATAACAAAGGAAAAGATCAGGAGATTGGTCACAGTTACTTTGTGTGAACCTCAGTAGTACCATCACATAACCTCTGCCATATTCAGTTATTTAAGAGTGAGTCAGGAACTGGGGAGAGAGCTCATGATACAATACTCGCTTACCATGCATGAGGCCCTGTTCTCAATTTTAGCACTGCTAATGCAAAAATAAAATAATAATAATAAGCCACAAAGTTAGGACCATAGGGTGGAGGATTTAGCTCAGTGGCATAAGTGGCTGCCTTGCAAGCAGGCAGTTGTGAGTTCGACCCCCGGTACCGATAAAAAGGAAAAAGACAAGAAAAAAAAAGTTAGGACCATAATATAGGCAACAGGCTACTCAGGATATGGCCATCACAAGATGAACTTTCAGCTACTGAGTAGGAGCACGGGCCATAGGCCTGGTGGCTCACACAGGTGTGAATATAGGAACTATGGACTTAGATATGGGGATGTAGCTCCATCCATAGTGCTTGCTCAGCCTGTGTGAGGTCCTGATTTGAGTCCACAGCACCAAAATATAGTAGAAATTAATGGCATTTCCACACCCTCATGAAACCACCAGGGAAACATGTCCAGGAGATGAGTCTCATTTCTACCACCACAAAGCAGGAGCCAGCATTGTGTGCACTGTGTTCCACCTCCATCCTACCCTTTCATGGATTTCACTTCTAATTCTGTGTTCTATATATACGTGACACCAGCCCACAGATTTTCCAAATGTTATCTCACTTCATTGATCATGCTCCCAGGTGGCAGATGCCAGGATGACCTCCATAGAGAACACTAACACCTTGGGAAGCTCCTGAGAGGCATGGTGTCTTGTTGACATAAGAAACCAGAAAAACAAGTTTTATCCAAACCCCTGACTTTTGCATTAGAGCTGAGACCCTACCTGCACTGCTGTTTTTTCTTAGCCATGGGAAATATTTGCATCCTGCCAAGGGTCCATCACTTGGGTGAAGAAGCTGTTGTTTATTGTGAAGGACAATGGAGAGTCATTCTTTGGGATTCCCTACTATCCAGAACAGGAATTTCTGTGAGACATCATGGTCCACACAGAAATTATGCAGGAAGCTGGTGGAGGCATTTAATTATCAATTTACTAGGCTCTGACTGATGTAATGACCAGATTAAACATAAACACTGTTGTGTTGTGCTTTAATGTTGTGCAGGCCACACAGTCACCCTGGAGAGAACACCATGTAATACCCACATTACTGTGAATGTGCCTAACTTCCTGGCCTCTGCACATGTGAACACATAATAAGGTTAGCTCCTCTAAGGCACACAGAATGAGGTGATGTATCATTATATAAACTGAAGATGGAGGAAAAGAAGGCAGAACCCACACTCTCTGTCCACTCACTTTGCAGGTATATATAGTACAGCACCCCTGTAGAGTGACCATGAGTAGAGTAACACTGCAGACACCACTCTTGCTCAGAGACAACAGGGCACAATGGTTGGAAAGGGAGGTGTATGTCAGGCTTCCCTGAAGAAGGGAGGACAGGTGGTCACAGCATTATTAGGGACTTCTATCAGCATGTGAGGACCACCTGGGCCAGCACTACCCCATTCAAGGCAAAGAAAAGGCTGGGGCAGGGCTCTGCAACTGCAGCAGGAGGTTGATGTCTGTTGTAGTCTGGGGTTATACACAGAGAACAATTCAGGTCAGGACATGGAGTTTATAATATTTTTATAATGGTCACTGAAAGTTAATGCAGGAGAATGCAGGAAATCTATCCGCAACACCAAAGACATAGATTATTTAAGTCAAGAGCCTAAACCCCACGGCAATGTCCCACATGAGTCCAGATAAAAACCCAGAGCTCAGGACAACGCCTCCACGAGTCCAACTGGAAGTCCACAGCCCACAAGGACTCACGCCAGTCTCTTTTATGGATTCATGCTGGGAAGACCCAAGGGTCAGCCGTGGAAGACAGAAAGTCTATGCCAGCAGCATGAAGGAGCTGTGCTAGTTGGATGAGGGTTCTACACTGGAGCTGAGAAGTCACACTCACAACAAAAAAATGGGGCTGTCCTGAAAGGAACCAGAACTGTCCTCAGTGACACGGAGGCCCCGAGCTCCTCTGATGACAAGCACAGTCAGGAACGTGCCAGGAAGCAGCGTGACAAGTTCACCCTGGAGACCAGGCAGCACATGTCTTCCCCTCCGGAGCCAGGAAGCAATGCTCAATGTGAGGACCAAAGCTCCTCCAGGAGAACCAACAGCTCAGACAGCAACTTGTAGGAGAACTAACAATGCCTCCATAATGCCTCAATCCCTCTCCACACCTCTCGTCTTCTCCACCTATTTATCCTGGCAACCCTCCTCAGGTGGAGCATCTTCTCTCGATGCATGCTGATGTAATCCAGCTGGCATTAAGTTGACCACTAGTTATCAAACCATAACAATCCACCCCCGGTTAACTTAATAACCACACGCATTACCTTAACTATAGTCCTTAGTGGCAGATTTGTTACATTAGTAAAACAATTACATATATTTACAATTTTTTACACTTAATTCCTGCATCAAAAACAAAACATTTAAAGGGTGACCAAGGTTCAACATTAAAACACAGTACTTTGACAAATCAACTGGGTTACAAACAAATAAAACATTAAAATCACACTAAAAGAACAATTACAATCACCGCCCTTGCTTCCCATTAACTTTAACATGGCATGGCAAGACTAAAATATAAGAATCTCCTGCAATTCAAATGTACTCTTGATTTTTCCATTATCCTATTCTAAACAACCATGTTCTCTGTTTCATCTTTACCACCCACAGTTCCAATGGAGCCTTGCTCTTGGCCAAGTGTTTTAAATTACTCTACTGGCCCTTTGCTCTAAATTTCAAAATACATCTGGTCAAAAGTTCTCTAAAGTAACCATGCTACCATCCCAAAAGTAGACTGCACTGAAATTCTTCTGCCACCCAGGTAATATCTCTAAATACAAACAAGAAGACCAACTTTCATCTAAAGCAGAATATACTACCTGGATTTCAGCAGACATTGCAGTCTTTCTCAAAAGAAGCCTCCCAAGCTTCACCTTAATTGGCAGCATTTCCATCAGTACTCCGATCTTCCAGGTTCCAACCAGAGTCTCCAAAATAATACAGCACACAGGAGCTGTCTCTTTGGCCAGTCTCTCAAATATTTTGAAATTAATTTCTAAGCCTCTCCAGTCACATGGCCAGGCAACATAACAGCAATGACCCCACTCCTCTGGTACATATTTCTGTTGGTCACCGGAAGTTAACACAGGAGAATGCAGGAAATCTAGGCACAACACCAAAGACATAGATTATTTAAGTCAAGAGCCTAAACCCCACGGCAATGTCCCACATGAGTCCAGATAAAAACCCAGAGCTCAGGACAATGCCTCCACGAGTCCAACTGGAAGTCCACGGCCCACAAGGACTCACACCAGTCTCTTTTGTGGATTCATGCTGGGAAGACCCAAGGGTCAGCAGTGGAAGACAGAAAGTCCATGCCAGCAGCATGAAGGAGCTGTGCTAGTGGGATGAGGGTTCTACACTGGAGCTGAGAAGTCACACTCACAACAAAAAAACAGGGCTGTTCTGAAAGGAACCAGAACTGTCCTCAGCGACACGGAGGCCCCGAGCTCCTCTGATGACAAGCACAGTCAGGAACGTGCCAGGAAGCAGCGTGACAAGTTCACCCTGGAGACCAGGCAGCACATGTCTTCCCCTCCGGAGCCAGGAAGCAATGCTCGATATGAAGACCAAAGCTTCTTCAGGAGAACCAACAGCTCAGACATCAACTTGTAGGAAAACTAACAATGCATCCATAATGCCTCAATCCCTCTCCCAACCTCTCTTCTTCTCCACCTATTTATCCTGGCAACCCTCCTCAGGTGGAGCATCTTCTCTCAATGCATGCTGATGTAATCCAGCTGGCATTAAGTTGACCACTAGTTATCAAACCATAACATTGTCCAAATCTATAAGATGCCCAGTTGAGTTAGGCCAACCTGAGCTCACTGAAAATGAGAACTGAAGTCAGAAGGGATTGCCCTGGGTCTGTGGGCCTCTGGGAAGTGCATGGGACACTTTAGACAGACAAAGACTCCAAGATTTGGGGCCTCCTGCAACACTGAGACATGCAGAAGTGAGTGGGTCGAAGAAGAATGGAAAGCTTTCCTGGGGTGGATTTGTGCACAGAACTGTCTGAGACAGGCACTGGGAAGTTCTAGGGCCTGCAAGGAACAAGGATAGTTGGTGATTTTTCTCCTTCTGCTGACACAGGGTAGTACCTGAGCTCAAGTCCCACATGCAGAGTTTATGCTACATCCATCTCCAGTCACCTCACCAGCTTTGGGAACAAAGTGAAAACTATGGCCAGGCAGCCTGTGTTGAGTAATTCTAGAGCTGAGGCTTTTACTGGCTCCACAGCAAGCATCCTGAACTCCACTTAGGGCCACTCCTGCAAAGCACCTGCCTTTCCTTTCCCCTCTCCTTGTACACCTTGTATTATTTTCAGTTTACATTTCTACAACTAAGTCTGTAATACTTCTGCACATTAAATTCTAGTACAACTTACCTTTAAAGATAAGATACCATTTGTTTCATCACGTTCAATTCAGTAGCATATAAGGACATCATCTATTTGTACAATTTCCACATCTGTTGATTTCTAGCTCTCTACTCAGTTTTGGACCCACCCATACCCCTGTCCTCTCCTGCTATACCCCACCCTCCTCTGATCTTTTTCTCACTACAATTTAGTACTCTGGGTTTTTAATAATCATTTATCAGATTCTGTTAAGTCAAATTTTACTGGAAGACACTGGCTGCTGTTGTTCTTTGATAGATGAAAAAACCCCAGGTAGAGTATTCTATCAGGAAAATGTAGAGACCATTGTGTACCTACTCATCTTTTCATTTTGGAAAAGCATTCCCATGACTTCAGTGATAGAAGGGAGCTAGAAAGGTCTGATTCATTGCACTTGAAAAACAGAAACAAGTATTATGTAGAAACTACAACAAGAAACCTTTCCTTACAAGCCATAGTCAGAAAGATAGTGTGGGATACAGGTGTAAAAGAGGTGTCATGAGTTCATTTGTAAGAGATGAAAAATTCTTATAAATTAAAAGAGAACCACCACATGTGACCAACAAGGGCAGAAAACACTGAGCCTCCAAAGCTGATTCATGCAGGCACACATCCCTGAGATGTGCTGTGTCTCCATCTGATGGCAGGTTTTAAGGCAGGTCCTGAACAGCACTGGGGAGAACATGGGGAGCCGAGCAGAGCCCCATCTGGCAGCTCCCATCAGAGTGCTATGACTTACAGAGGTTTATGACTTACAGAGAGTTGCACAACTTTGCAAGATTTCTTTTCAGGAGTTTGATTCACAGCTGTTTGAAGCAGGAAGAAACTGGGACCATCCTGATCTTCCACGTAAAGGGCGCGGGGCATCACTGTGGGCCACAGGATGCAGGGAAAGCTGGGGGGATGCTGAGTTTGGTCTCCCTGGGTCCACAGGAAAAGAAGCCAAGGAATCTGATCATGAAATCATACATGAATGTGAGAATAAGGATCTCCGTTTTCAAAGTGAAATGTCTCTGACATTATGGGGTTCTGTCCTAGATTCTGGATCTCCCAAACTATTTTATGGTGGAGGTTAAATAAAAAGTGAGAAATTATATGATTTGTAGGGCTCCACTTTGAGGGTAAAGACAAAGGATTCTCTGTGTCTGTCCACTTATATTAGGACCAAGGACAAAGGGCAGAGAAACTGAGGAAAGTACAAGCAATGAGCAGGACCTTGGGAGTCACTTCAAGGATGTCTCCAAGTAATGAATCAAGTCAACTCAGTACAACTGTCTTATCATGAAGTCATGGTAGAAGTGATCTGTAGGAGTAATCTTTGCATCTGCAGTCTCTACCTAGTTAATTGGTGTTGGAGCCAGACTGTCTACATCTGTAGCCTTATCTTGCCTTTTGAAGTATCTCTGGCCTCACAAGCCACTTCAGGCCTCAGTCAGGACCTGTGATTCATAGAGGATCACTTACTATGAATCAGCTCCCATCTCCAGGCAAGGGGCCTGGGCCTAGGACAGATTCACAGCTAAACATAGAAAGTCAATTAGTAAAATTTAAATCCTGCTCAGAGTCACTTCAACTACTAGTGGTTTCCAACATGACATCAAGGTGCATCCACACATAGACATGTAAGAATCTATGTCCAAGAACGGTGTCTCAGCACTGTAGTTCCTTTTGGTGACCCTGGCTCAAAATAAAAAAGAATATTAAAACAGAAGTTAGTCTAGTTCAGTGCAAGGTCCTTGTCATAGTTTATGTTTGTGGCCCCCAGGCCTCATGCATTTATATTACGCATTTGTGACTGGTTCATTGTTTATCCCTTGGACCGGGGGTGTGAGTGCTACACTGACCTAAGGGTGGAGCCAGGATGTGACTTAATGGCAGAAAGAAGGCCTGTCTTGCTCTTTTGCCTGTTTCCTCCTTGCTGTTTGCAGCAGCCATGAACCTCGGCCCTGCAATGCCAGCCTGCCTTAAAGCCAACTGAGTATGAACTTAAACTTCCACAAATTGTAAGAAATAAACCTTTCCTTTCCCAATTTTTGGCATCAGGTATGTTGTCTCAGCAAACAGTATAAAGTAACTAAGACAGCCCTACATACAATTCCTAGAATTCAGTTAAGGAAAAAACAAACAAACAAAAAAACCAAAAAACTGGGAGTAAGGGGAAGGCCTGCAGAGTACCACTGCTTGGGCTTTCTGAAGAGCAATGTGCCCCAAGTACCTTGAGCCTTCACACCTTTCTTTGGCAGTCTGATTTTAAAAACTGATCAGTTCCACGAGGGATGGTGAAAGGAGGATGTTCACCAAAGAATACAAAATCTCAGTCACGGTGGAGAAGAAATTTTGAATTCTCTACTAAACATTATGGTGACCACAGTTAATAAGAAGGACAGCTTTCAAAACTGATAACCAATGGGATTTGCAGTCCTAGTCACTGTGAAGGAATCTGTAGATTAGTAAGGTGGTAGGTACATTAACTAGATTGATTCTTTCTACAAAGGAGCCATAGATTAAAGGCACATTTTTATCCCATAAATATACACAATTATTGTGAATTTCTAAATAAGGATAGCCTGTACCTATACTCCCAGCACTCTGGGAGGACCACAAGTTTAAACCCACCCTGTGGAATTGAGTGAATTATTTAGACCCTGTCTCAAAAATAAAAATAAAAACAAATTTTAAAAGTGCAGGGGCCTATAGCTCATGCAGAAATCCCCAGGATCACTAAACATAGAATATAAACTGTGTAATACAAAACTGCATACTTCATACTAGTTTCGTACTATGCAGTTTTAGAGTATATAGTTATATAAAGTATACTATAGTATATAAATATACCATAGTTTCATGGTATATAAACTGCATAGTATGAAATCTTTAATCTATTTATAAGGGTTTTCATATTTTCTTTATTAGTATCTACTTGTGCTACATTAAAATAAGAGGAAAAAGTGTTTGTTCATTTTGTTCTGAGATAAGGTCCTGCTATGTACTGCAGCCTGACCTTGAACTCACCAAGTATTTCACGCTAATGTGGCACTCCCTGTTGATGCACCTGTCTAACCCTCCAGAGTGCTGGGATTACATGCATGAACCACCATGCCCAGCAAGAAAATGTTTTTTAATTTTATTTGAAAGAAAATGAAGCCAAATGAAACAAAACAGAATAGAGTCAATCAAAATAAAAAGACGAATATGGTACATCACTTAAAAACAAAATCCAACAGTAGGTTGTGTGGCCTGTCTCTCAGTTTGCACAGAAAATGACTCAACGTCTTTCTGAACTCCAAATTTTCCAAGATAATTGGACAAATACCTAGATTTTGAAAGATGTAAACATGGCTTGTTTAGGCACCAGTTCATGTCAAGTGTCAGGGAAAGAACAGAGAACTCTGAATTAGTATTTCCAAATTCTGGAATTTATCCCAAGAAAAAATGATATATGCTCAATGCAATTTTTCTAAGAGCAACTATACTTTTGTACATGGTCTGTAACAGGACAACTAAGTAAATGTCTATCTATGCATATAATATAAATATTCAACACTATGCAAATATATAAATGATATGAGCAGAACTGGGTAGTAAAGGTTAGAGACAGCCGAATATGGACAAGATGGGTACTCTGTAGCAAGGTTCAATTATGTGGGTGAATTATTTTTATTTGTGGATTTAAATTTTTAAACCCTACTGATCACACTTTGCCTTGTTGTCAAAGCCCCGTGCTGCATTCAGTCTCCTCACAAAACCTAAACACCCAAGAGGCACCTATATTATAAGAAGCAGAAACCCCTTATCAATGGAAGGGACTTGAGCCAAAGCATGTGCAGGTAGAATAATAACTGCTATCTTACTGTAATATCTTGATCCTCTCTCAGTCTCTGCAGAGAGGAGCTCAGAGTGAAATGAAATCGTCGTTTGGGGGGTAAATGTCCCTGGCTCAGCACAGCCAGGCTCAGTGACATCAGAGGCCATGTGAGACCTGAGCTGCCTCCCACAGGTCCCACACCAGGGCTGGGCTCCCAGCAGCGCCTGGCGGTGGCCAGGGACTCCGGAAGGCGCGCCAGGCCAGGCTATTCGGACCCCTGAAGGAGAGGAGGGAGGAAGGGAGAGAGGGGCCTTGCGGGCTGAGGCCCGGTCGCTCCCAGACCCGCGCCCGCCACCCTGGGCCCAGGACCCCGACCTCAGGACTCCCCGCCGAGGAACCTGGGCCCGCTAAACTCGGGGCCACCAGGCCGCGCCGCCGCTCACAGCCGGCTCCCACCCGCCTACCTGGCCCAGACCCCAGCCCCCGCCCCGCTGTAGGCTAGGCCGCTGAAGAAAGAGCGTTCAGGTCTCCAGAGGGCTTCCCTAGCGGCAAAATGGCGACTCCGTGCA